AATGAAAACGACATACCAAAACGTATGGATTGCAACAAAAGCAGTACCATGAGCAAACTTTATAGGAGTAAATGCCTACATTAAAAATAAGAAAGATCTCAAATCAACAGTATAACTTTTTATACTTCAAAGAACTAGAAAAAGAACAAACTAAACCCAAAGGAAGCAAAAGGAAGCACATAATTAGATTAGAAATAAACAAAATAAGACTATAAAAACAATGGGGAAAAAAAAGTCAATGAAAATAAGAGCTAACAGCCCTTTCCTAGACTAAATGGCAGAGAAGAGAGAAGAATCAAATAACAAAATCAGAAATGAAAGAGGAAACATTAAAATTGATGCCACAGGCCAGGTGTGGTGGCTCACGCCTGTAATCCCAGCCTGGGAAACAAAGCAACGCCCTGTTTCTATAAACACAAACAAACTGATGCTGTCGAAGTAAAAAGGATCTTAAGAGTAAGAGTCTACTATGAACAATTACATGCCAACAAATCGGATAACTTCAAAGAAATAGAAAAACTCCTAGAAACATACAGCCTACAAAGACTGAATCATGAAAAAATTTTTAAAATCTGAACAGAACTATAACTAGTAAGATTGACTCAAAAATAATAATACACTCCCAAGAAAAGCCGCAGGCCTGATGACTTGACTGGAAAATTCTACCAAACATTTATTTTTATTTTTTATATATTTTTAGACAGAGTCTCGCTCTCTCACCCAGGCTGGAGTGCAGTGGCGTGATCTCGGCTCACTCCAACCTCTACCTCCCGGGTTCATGCGAGTCTCCTGAGCTGGGATTACATGCGCCTGCCACGCCTGGCTAATTTTTGTATTTTTCATAGACACGGGGTTTCACCATATTGGCCAGGGTGATTTCGAACTCGTGACCTCAGGTGTTCTGCCTGCCTTGGCCTCCCAAAGTGCTGGGATTATAGGCATGAGCCACCACACCTGGCCTTACCAAACATTTAAAGAAGAATGAACAATCCTTCTCAAACTCTTTCAAAAAAAATTGAAGATGAAGGAACACTTCTGAACTCATTTTATGAGGCCAGCATTACCCTGATACCAAAACCAGACAAAAATAATGGAACTACAGACCAATACCCATAGTGAATACAGATGCAAAATTCCTCAATAAAATACTACCAAACTGAGTCCAATAGCTTATTAAAAGATTTATATGGCAAGTGCAATGGTTCATACCTGTTGAATTCCAACAATTTGGGACGGTGAGGTGGGAGAATCACTTGAGCCCAGGAGTTTGAAACCAGTCTGGGCAACAATATGATGAGATTTTGTCTCTACAAAAAATTTTTAAACATTAGCTAAGTGTGGTAGCATACACCAGTAATCCCAGCTACTTGGGAGGTTGGGGTGGGTGGATTGCTTGAGCCTGGGAGGTCAAGGCTGCAGTGAGCTGTGATTGTGCCACCACACTCCAGCCTCGGTGACCAGGCAAGACCCTGTCCCAGAAAAAAAGAGAAAGGATTATACACCATGACCCAGTGGGATTTATTTCTGGAATGCAACAGTGATTCAACATGCAAAATCAATCAATATAATGCAGCACATTAACAAAATGAAGAACAAAAATCACATGATCATTTTAATTGATGCAGAAAAGGTATTTGACAAAATTCAACACCTTTTCATGATAAGAACCCTCAGCAAACTAGGAATAGAAGGACATTATCCCAATATAATAAAGGCTATATATGAAAGGCCCACAAGTAACATCATATTCAATGGTAAAAACTAAAAGCTTGCCAGGCGTGGTGGCTCATGCCTGTAGTCCCAGCACTTTGGGAGGCCGAGGAAGGTGGATCACGAGGTCAGGAGATCGAGACCATCCTGCCTAACACGGTGAAACCCCATCTCTAATAAAAATATAAAAAGTTGGATGGGCATGGTGGTGGGCACCTGAAGTCCCAGCTACTCAGGAGGCTGAGGCAGGAGAATGGCATGAACCCGGGAAGCGGAGGTTGCAGTGAGCCGAGATCACGCCACCACACTCCAGCCTGGATGATAGAGCGAGACTCCGTCTCAAAAAAAAAAAAAAAAAAATCAAAACTCAAAGCTTTTCCTCTAAGATCAGAAACAAGGCAAAAATGCCTACTTTTACCACTTCTGTTGAAGTACTGGAAATCCTAGTCAGAGCAATTAGGCAAGAAAAAGAAATAAAAGACATCCAAACTGGAAAGCAAGAAATAAAATGGTCTCTGTTCACAGATGACATGTTTTGTTTGTTTGTTTTTGAGACAAAATCTTGCTCTGTCCACCAGGCTGGAGTGCAATGGCATGAGCATAACTCACTATAACCTTGAACTCCTGGGCTCAAGTGACTCTCCTGCCTTAGCCTCCTGAGTAGCTACACTACAGATGCACACCACCACACCCAGTTAACTTAATTTTTTTGTAGAGACAGTGTCCTGCTATGTTGCCCAGACTAATCTCTAACTCCTGCCTTCAAGCAATCCTCCCACCATGGCTTCTCAAAATACTGGGATTGCAGGCATGAGTCACTGTTCTCAGGCTGACATGATCTTACATGTAGAAAACCCTAAAGATTCCATTAAGAAAAAAACTGTTAGAAGTAGTAAACAAATTCAGCAAAGTTGCAGGATACAAAATCAACATACTAAAAAAAAATTAGTTGCATTTCTGTACACTAATGAACAACCTGAAAAAGAAATTATGAAATTCACATTTACAATAGCCTCCAGTAGAATAAAATACTTAGTAATAAACTTAATAAGGGCATGAAAGATTTGTACACTGAAAACTACAAAACATTGTTAAAAGAAATTAAGGAAGACACAAATAAACTGAAAGACATCCCATGTTTATGGATTGGAAGACTTAGTTTTAAAATGTCCATACTACCTAAAGCCATCTACAGATGCACTGCAATCCTTATCAAAATCCCAATGACATTTTTCATGAAGATAGAAAAAAAATCCAAAAATTCATATGGATGAGGCTTGAGGACATTATGATAAGTGAAATTAACCATGTATAAAAAGACAATACCACATAATTCTACTTATATGAGGTATCTAAAGTAGTGAAACAGAAAGTAGAATGGTAGTTTCCAGGGGCTGGGGAGAGAGAAAAATTGTATAGAGTTTCAGGTTGGGTGCAGTGGCTCACACCTATAATCCCAGCACTTTGGGAGGTGGAGGTGGGCGGATCACTTGAGGTGGGGAGTTTGAGACCAGCCTGGCCAACATGGAGAACCTCATCTCTACTAAAAATACAAAAATTAGCTGGGCATGGGGTGTGGTGGCATGCACCTGTAATCCCAGCTAGTTAGTAGGCTGAGGCAGAGAACTGCTTGAATGTGAGAGGTGGAGGCTGCAGTGAGCTGAGATTGTGCCACTGCACTCCAGCTCAAGCAATGGAGGCAGACTCTGTCTTGGAAAAAAAAAAAAAAAAAGCATATAGAGTTCCAGTTTTGCAAGATGGAAAGGTTCTAAAGATCTGTTGCACAACTATATCTGTATCTATATCTGTCTGTCTATCTATCTATTTTTTTTTTTTGAGATGGAGTCTCGCTCTGTTGCCCAGGCTGGAGTGTAGTAGTGGATCTCGGCTCACTGCAACCTCCACCTCCCAGGTTCAAGAGATTCTCCTGCCTTAGCCTCCTGAGTAGCTGAGACTACAGATTTACACCATCATGCTGGGCTAATTTTTATATTTTTAGTAGAGACAGGGTTTCACCATGTTGGCCAGGCCAGTCTTAAACTTCTGACCTCAAGTGATCCACCCACTTGGCCTCCCGAAGTGCTGGGGTTACAGGCATCAGCCACCATGCCTAGTGACAATGTGCGTATAATTAACACAACTGTACTGTGCACTTTAAAAATGGTTATGATAGTAAAGTTCATGCTGTGTGTGTGTGTGTGTGTGTGTGTGTGTGTGTGTGTGCTTTTCCTGAGACAGGGTCTTGCTCTGTCATTCAGGCTGGAGTACAGCGGCACGAGCACAGCTCACTGCAGCCTCAAACTCCTGAGTTCAAGCAATCCTCCCGCCTCAGCCTCTGGAGTAACTGGGACTACAGGTGTGCGCCACCATGCCTCACTAATTCTTGTATTTTTTGTAGAGACGAGGTCTCACCATGTTGCCCAGGCTGGTCTCAAACTCCTGAGCTCAAGTGATCTACCTGCCTTGGCCTCTCAACGTACTGGGATTACAGATGGGAGCCACCATACCCAGCCTGTGTTTTTTAACCATGATTTAAAAAAAAAAAAAAAATTTGACAGATGTCTGCACAGAAACAAACAAAACATGAGGGGACTGGCCCACAATGTGTTATAGACATTACAGTATGCTGTATGATAGTGACTGTTCACAGTGGTGTACTGAGCCAGTGAAATGATTAAATATTCAGACTGTTTAACCAGACAAGCATAATACATGTAACAAAGTATGTTCATTTAAAACATTTTAAATTTTGGTCCCTTGAAAAGGGTTATACTTTTGTTTCTGGAAAATTAACTCAGGAGGAACATTTCATTCCCTAGTGAGGCTGGATAAATGACACACAGTTGAAATGCCTTATCTCCGAAGTACTTAAGGTGCCACCAAGCACCTTAAATGACAAAGCAGAAATCATCAGAGATTGACAGTTAAGAAGAACTAGGCTGGGTACGGTGGCTCACGGCTGTAATCCCAGCACTTTGGGAGGCCAACGTGGGCGGATCACGAGGTCAGGAGATGGAGACCATCCTGGCTAACATGGTGAAACTCCGTCTCTACTAAAAATACAAAAAATTAGCCAGGCGTGGTGGCGGGCACCTGTAGTCCCAGCTACTGGGGAGACTGAGGCAGGAGAATGGCATGAACCTGGGAGGCGGAGTTTGCAGTGAGCCGAGATCACCCCATTGCACTCCAGCCTGGGTGACAGAGCGAGACTCTGTCTCAAAAAAAAAAAAAAGAACTACAGTGTGTGCACGTATTTATGTTATGTATGTGTCTGTGTGTTCATTCTCCAGAGCATCATTAAATGAGAATCAAAGTTCCAGACATCTCTCAATTGACTCCCTTAATTCAGCCACTCCTGAAGAGTTTAAGGTGGGCATCATTGGAGGTGGCCACCTTGGGAAGCAGCTGGCTGGCACACTGCTGCAGCTCGTCCCCATCCCTGCTGAAAGCCTGCGGATCTCCACTCGGAGGCCAGAGGCTCTGGGTGAGCAGCGGTGTGTGGGAGAAAGGGGGCTTGGTTGTGCTGTGTAGGTGTCAACAAAGCCATTTTGAAAGGGTCCTCCAAAGAGGAGTCCTTGCATACAGCGTGTGGAGTTCTCAGCTTGCTAGACCTAAGAAAGGTTAGAAGCATGACTTTCTCTCTTGTTCTTTAAAGCAACTTTTTTTCTCCATGTATATGTTTTATATCCATCTCTCCTCCCTGTGCCCTTGGTGGTGAATTATCTTTCTGGATCTTTGATACAGGGAAGCTTTCCATACAGAGTTCAGATCTTCTGACTGAATCAGTTAGGGTCTGGTTGGGTGTTATACAGTTCCAGGCATTTGCAGTTGGCCTTATGTTTTTAAAAATGACATTTACTGGCTTTTAAAAAATGTTTTGTGGTCGGGCGCGGTGGGCACACCTGTAATCCCAGCACTTTGGGAGGCCGAGGTGCGTAGATGACGAGGTCAAGAGTTTGAGACCATCTTGGCCAACATGGTAAAACCCTGTCTCTACTAGAAATACAAAAATTATCTGGGCGGGGTGGCGCGTGCCTGTAGTCCCAGCTGCTCAGGAGGCTGAGGCAGGAGAATCGCTTGAAGCCAGGAGGCAGAGGTTGCAGTGAGCTGAGATCACACCACTGCACTCCAGCCTGGCGACAGAGCGAGACTCCATCTCAAAAAAAAAAAAAAAAAAAGTTTTGTAATGATTCCATTTATGGTGATAGAAATCAGAACAATGATTTCTTCTGGGGAGATAGACTGAGAAAGTCCCAAAGGAACTTTTTCTGGGGAGATGAAAATGTTCTATATCTTGAGAGAGGTATGGGTTAAATGGGTGTATGCTTTTGTCAAAACTGATCAAACTATATACTTCATATCTGTGTGTTGCATTATATGTAAATTATACTTCAATAATAAAAAATGTAAAATAATATGCATATTATAGAAAATTTGTCTATAAGGAAGGGTACAACTACCTATAATCTACTCAGGTTATCATTTCCTTCCCATGTTTTCTTTTCTCTATATCAGTAATTGACACTATATATAGTTGTTTGTATTCTGCTTGTTTTACATAATGTATCATGAGCATATTCTCATATTGTTTTAACATTTTTTGAAATAATGATTTGCCCACGTCTGTAAGCCCAGCACTCTGGGAGGCCGAGGTGGGCAGATCACCTGAGGTCAGGAGTTTGAGACCAGCCTGGCTAACATGTTGAAACCCAGTCTCTACTAAAAATACAAAAATTAGCCAGGTGTTATGGTGGGTGCCTTTAGTCTCAGCTACTCAGGAGGCTGAACCCAGGAGGCGGAGGTTGCAGTGACCTGAGATCGCGTCATTGCACTCCAGCCTGGGCGACAGAGTGAGACTCTGTCTCCAATCAATCAATAAGAAATAATGATTTTAAGCCCCTCCACTTTCCCACAGTAGAAGGTTACCCCAGCAGGCTTTGAGCACACTCCCTTGCTTCTCCCTAGCAGGGTGTGCTTGCTGTATCTGGTGTTTGGATGCACAGACTTTGTAGTTGTGCCCAGCAGTGGCTGAGACCACCAGACACCCTACACCATTCTTCCTTGCTCTGTTTTCATCTCAGGATTTAAAATGTTAATTATATTAGTAAGAGATTAATGTAAAAAAAAAAGATTTTAAGGTTGTGTAGTATCCCAAAGTATGGATGTACTATAATTTATGTTAACTGTACCTTATTTAGTTGAACTTCCTTGTACATAATTTTCCAAATAAAGTTATTAGGTCAAAGAAGTGGTACAGCTTTATTAATTTTTTTTTTTTTTTTTTTTTTTTTGAGACTGAGTCTCGCTCTGCCACCAAGGCTGGAGTGCAGATTGTGGAGAGCACAGTCTTAGCTCACTGCAACCTCTGCCTCCCAGGTTCAAGCAATTCTCTTGCCTCAGCCACCCCAGTAGCTGGAATTACAGGCATACACCACCATGACTAGCTAAATTTTTTTTTGTATTTTTAGTAGAGACAGGGTTTCACCATGTTAGCCAGGCTGGTCTGGAACTCCTGACCTCAGGTGATCTGCCTACCTCGGTCTCCCAAAATGCTGGGATTACAGGCGTAAGCCACCGCGCCCGGCCCTAAAATATTTCTATACAATAAATGGCACACAGTTAAAAGTGTACAATTTGATGTTTTGGCACGTATACTCCTGTGAAACCATCACAAGGTAATGAACGTATCCCATCACCCCTAAAAGTTGCCCCTTGTCTTTGGTAATCCCTTTCTGTCCACTTCCCTGTAGCTCTCCACCCAGGAAACCAACAATCTGATTTCTGTCACCATAGATTAGTTTGCATTTTCTAGAGTTTTATATAAATGGAATCATACAGTTTATAGTGTTTTTTTAGTCTAACTTCTTTCACACTGCATAATTTGTTTGAAATATATCTAAGGTTTTTTTTGTTTGTTTTTGTTTTTTTTTTTTAGACAGAGTCTCACTCTTGTCGCCCAGGCTGGAGTGCAGCGGCACAATCTCGGCTCACTGCAACCTCCGCCTCCCAGGTTCAAGCGATTCTCCTGCCCCAGCCTCCCAAGTTGTTGGGATTACAGGCACGTACCACCATCCCCAGCTAATTTTTTGTATTTTTAATAGAGACGGGGTTTCATCATGTTGGCCAGGTTTGGTCTCCAACTCCTGACCTCAAGTGATCCTCCCACCTCAGCCTCCCAAAGTGCTGGGATTACAGGTGTGAGCCACCATGCCCAGCTGAAATATATCCAAGTTTTTTTATATATCAATATCCTTTTTTATTTCTGAGTAGTATTTCCTTGCATGATTATTCCACAGTTTATTCATTTGGTTTACTTAAGCTGTTTCCAGTTTCGGCTATTACAAATAAAGCTGCCATGAATACGTGTATATGAGTGTTCATGTGGGCAACTACTTTCATTTTTCTTGGGTAAATACCAGGCAGTGAAATGGCTGGGTCATGTGGTAGGTATCTGTAATTTTTAAAGAAACTTCTAATGTATTTTTTCAAATTGACCTCCCAAAAGGTTTTCAGGTATACTTTTTTACCAACATTGCATAAGAATACCCATTTCACTACACCCTGGTCAGTGCTGGGATCATTTTTAACATCACCATTTTAATATGCTTTACGTTATTTTCTTGTTTTAATATGTCTTTCATTAATCACTAGAAGAGTTTTATTTTCTTAGGTTTTATTACTATGTCATATTTTCTTGAGGTGCTTTTGACCATATTTTCTGTTGAAGTACCCATATTTTTCTTACTTTATTTATGTATTTATTTATTTTGAGACACAATCTCACTTTGTCACCCAGGCTGGAGTATAGTGGCATGATCCCGGCTCACTACAACCTCCCTGCCTCCCAAGCTCAAGTGATTCTCATGCCTCAGCCCCTCACGTACCTGGGATTACAGGCACACACCACCATGCTCAGCTAATTTTTGTATAATATTTTAGTAGAGATGGGGTTTTGCCATGTTGGCCAGGCTGGTCTCAAACTCCTGGCCTCAAGTGATCCACTCGCCTTAGCCTCCCAAAGTACTGGGGTATAGGTGTGAGCCACCATGCCAAGGTTTATTTTTTTTATTGATTTGTAATGTTTTTTTTCTTTTTTGGTTTTATAAATAGAGACAGGCTATCACTGTAATGCTGAAGCTAGTCTTAAACTGCTAGGCTCAACCAGTCTCCCCCGCCTCACCCTCTGAAAGTGCTGGTATTACAGGAGTGAGTCACCACACCTGGCCATTTTTTTTTTCCTATATTCCTAAGGAAACTAGAAAAAAATCTTACCAACTGGGCATGGTGGCTCACGCTGGTAATCCCAGCACTTTGAGAGGCTGAGTCAGGTGGATCACTTGAGGCCAGGAGTTTGAGACCAGCCTGGCCAACATGACGAAACCCCATCTCTTCTAAAAATACAAAAATTACCCGGGCATGATGGCACATACTTTCAAATCCCAGCTACAGGGGAGGAATGAGAATTGCTTGAACCCAGGAGGCAGAGGTTGCAACGAGCCAAAATCGCACCATGCACTCCACCCTGGATGACAGCAAGACTCTGCCTCATAAAAAAAACAAAAAAAACAAAAAAATCTTACCAGTCAAGGTATATTTATCCCATCAATAGGACTAATATATGTGATATTTCAACAAAGTACATATATTCTTTGCAAAGCAATGTATTTATTAGAATAAAATTATAGTTGTAAAATGTCAGTGTGTGTTGTGTAAGGAAACAAGAATTCAAAATGCTCAACATCAGCTTCTATGCACGTGAAAAGAATGAGAACAACACATGAGAGAATGATAGATATGCCTGTTTTGTAAACTTTGTCCTGTTGTATTAGTCTGTTTTCACACTGCTATAAAGATACTGTCTGAGACTGGGTAATTTATAAACAAAAGAGGTTTAATTGACTCACAGTTCTGCATGGCTGTGGAGGCCTCAGGAAACTTACAATCATGGTGGAAGGTGAAGGAGAAGCAAGTACCTTCTTCACAAGGCGGGAGGAGACAGCACACAGGGGAAACTGCCATGTTTAAACCATTAGCTCTCGTGAGAACTCCCTCCCTATCATGAGAACAGCATGGTGGAAACTGCCTCCATGATCCAATCACCTCACACCAGGTCCCTCCCTCGACACATGGGGATTACAATTCCAAGATGAGATTTGGGTGGGGGCACAGAGCCAAACCAAATCATCTTTCTTCCAGGTTTATCAGTATCTAGATAACTGCAGCATTACATTTGCCATGTACTCTCAGTGGTTAACATAAGAAGTCACTCGCCAATGTCTGTTATATTCTGTTTTCCAATGACATTTACGACATATCACCAGATGTGAATGTACACTTTAGGTTTATACTTTTGAAAATCCATATTGCCTCACACCCATAATCCCAGCACTTTGGGAGGCTAAGGCAGGGGGATTGCTTGAAGCCAGAAGTTGGAAACCAGCCTGGATAACATAGTGAGATCCCATCTCTAGCCTAAACAAAAAAAAAAAAAAAAAAAGAACTACCAGTAAGTGTTTTTATGCAACTACATGAGTTGCCAGTCTTTCTTCATTTATAAATATCCTAATAAAATTAATTTGTATATACTTTACAGAAACTGTTAAATATTTGCAAACTCCTCTCAGCCTCTGATTTATACCTTCCACACTCCTAGTCTTTTCCACCACCTCAAGCCAGCAGCTCTGTAACTTTGGAAAAGTCGTATGATTTCTTGAATCCTCAGTCTCCTCATCTGTAAAATGAGACTGCTACTCATTTCTGCTTCATAAGGTCCTTGTGAGGGTTATACCTTAGACACTGTAAAGTACTTTGTATATTATCTGACACATGGTTATCCTGCAGTACATTGGAGTAAAAGGCTTCTCTGAGATTTTTTTTTCTTCCTAAAGAAAAAAAGTCTGGGCAGCACATGGTGGCTTATGCCTGTAATCCCAGAACTTTGGGAGGTGGAGGTGGGAGGATCATTTGAGTCCAGGGGTTTGAGGCCAGCCTAGGCAACATAGTGAGACCTTGTCTCTACACAAAATAAAAAAATTAGCTGGGCATGGTCACACTCACCAGCGGTCCCAGCTACTTGGGAGGCTGAGGTGGGAGGATCCCTTGAGCTCAGGAAGTTGAGGCTATAATAAGCCGTAATCACACCACAGGTGACAGAGCAAGACCCTGTCTTAAAAAAAAAATCGGAAATATTCTAGCACTTGATCTAAAAGTAAGATAAAGATGAATTGTAGGCCAGGTGTGGTGGCTCACACCTGTAATCCCGGCACTTTGGGCAGCCGAGATGGGCAGATCATCTGAGGATGGGAGTTCGAGACCAGCCTGGCCAACATAGTGAAACCCCAGCTCTACTAAAAATACAAAAATTAACTGGGCGTGGTGGCACGTGCCTGTAGTCTCAGCTACTACTGCTGCTTTAGTACTAGAGTTAGGGCATTGCTGCATGGCTTTTAGAAGTCCTGTAGGAAGGAATATCTTCTGATTTATGGAGCAACAAGACTTGGGTTGATTTACTGAGCTAAAATAATGATCACCCTCTCCCCATAGTTGATGTTCAGGTCAAACTCCTTAGTACTGTGCTCTTTCTGTCTTCCTTTTTCCCTCCCAGGTGAGCTCCAGAAGCTGGGAATCAAATGCTTTTACCGTAACGCTGATCTGGTGAGTTGGGCCGACGTGATATTCCTCTGCTGCTTGCCATCTCAGCTGCCTAATATCTGCGTAGAAATTCACACCAGCCTTGAGAAGACCAGCATTGTGTACAGCTTTGTAGCTGCCGTCCCACTACCTAGGTATCTTATTAGGGTGAGAACGGAACTGGCACAACTGTTCTGTCTCCCTATCTCTGACTTCTGCCTCCCACCTCCACTGTAGCCCCTACCTCTTAGAGCTGGTCATTTCCAGTAATAAGGGGAAGCAACTTTATCTGTAGAAGAACATAGTTAGCCAATCTTCTTTGTAACTTCCCTGCTTACCCACAAATAGTACCCACAAACCATTTTTTTTTGCTGTACAAAGGTTTACAATTGCAATAGAACATTTATTCCCATTACTTGAACACTGAAGTATTCTCCTTATGCATCAATGAGAAGAGAAATCATCAGTCAATAACATGAAAAGTTACTGAAAGTATGTGTCAAGTATTATTTCTGCACACTTAGTTTCTAGCCCAGTGCCTGGCACATAACATTCAGTAAGGAAGGATTTGTTAGGTGGATGAACAGTCCAATTAATTAGTGTTCTCAGCACAGACCCAGACCCGCATTTATCTCTGAGCTGTGTGGGGGAGTCTGTTTATGGGTTGGATGTAAACACAGTGGGTTATGTGGTCATTTATTCCAGTCCTGGCATTGCACTCCCTGTCTTGGCTTTACTTCCAGGCTGAAACTACTGTTGAACCACACCAATATCTTGCGGCCTCAGTATCAGTATGGTGAAGATTCTGTCAGCATCTGGGGGGCCAATAAGAAAGTCATAGCTGCTCTCCAAGATCCTACGATTCTTCAAGCTACCTGTCCCTACAGTCCTGCTGGTCATGGCTCAACATATTTCTGGCATTCTTTTGAAAATTACTTTCCTTTTGGCCCATTGCTGTCTTATTAAATCTCTCTCTTTCTCTCTCTCTCTCTCTGTGTGTGTGTGTGTGTGTGTGTGTGTGTGTGTGTGTGTGTGTGCAAGGCACAAGGTACTGCAGGAGAGCTACTTGGGAAGAGCTGAGAAGCTTGATCATTTGGACTTGTTAAAGACAAACTAAAAACCAAAAGAGGAGATAGCTTATTTCAATAGGAGGATGTAATGTTGGACTAAAATGGCTTTTCCCTGTTCTAATCTTGCAGTTTTCTCCAGTTCCTTCTCCTTATTAGCAACGACTATTCTAGAGACACTTTTTACCATTAGCAATGTCTACATTAGTCGTATCTGTCCGCCTTTGGGATGGTCAACACATGATGTGTTATAAAGGGCACAAGTAGGGCTTATGGCTCAGGAAGGAGTGTTTATCTTGTGGTTCATATTACCAACCTGTCTTGAAAAAAAGGTGGCTATTCAAAAAGGTGGCTATTCACGGTCAGGGGTTTATTCTAGGTTCTCTGCAACCATTTTTGGTGGTGCTAACTGGTATTTACCTTCTCATTGATGTGTAGGGGGAATAATCCTCAAGATCAAGTGGTTGGAGGGAGTGTTTTATGCGGCCCTAAACATATGCACAGCAAGAAACATGGCCCACTCCCAAGTGCTGCAGCTTCTGAGTGAACTCTTTCTCTCCGTGCACTTTGAAGACTGTGGGAAAGACACAGCATCTTGCCCAAAGTTTCAAATAACAGATTTTGTCAGCAAAGCCTATGGCAAGAACTTGTCTCAGGAAAGGTAAGGGCATCAGACAGCTGGCCATTCTCATTTCTCCCAGACTCTGCTTAGTTAATACTTTTTTCTTTTATCCTTTCATGTTCTCTTTAAACACTGATAAAAATCATACCTTTCTGTAAAGAATTTCAAAGAGTAGAAAAGTAAATGTTGTCCTTTGCCTTCCAAATCCTGTTTCATAGATTTCACCTCTAACAGTTTTTATATTTTTATCTATGCATTTGCAAAGATTTATATTGTTATAATGTATATGCACATCTATTCCTATATATACAGTGTTATACACATGGGAACTATGCATTCTGCTTTTGTACTTACTGTATCACAGCTACCATTCTATGTTAGTACAATCATAGCTACTTCACTTATGAGCAGCTACCTAGGTGTCCACCAGACACATTTATTTCATTAAATTTATTCACCCTGTCTCACTTGATAGAGATGTAGTTCCTCGTCCTATCCCCAATTTTGCATTACGGGCTACTTTTACTTTTTTTTTTTTTTGAGACAGTCTTACTCTGTCACCCAGGCTGGAGTGCAGTGGCGCAATCTCGGCTCACTGCAACCTCTGCCTCCCGAGTTTAAGTGATTCAAGTGCCTCAGCCTCCCGAGTAGTTGGGATTACAGGATTGTGCCATCACGCCCGGCTAATTTTTGTATTTTTAGTAGAGACAGGGTTTCGCCATGTTGGCCAGGCTGGTCTCCAACTCCTGACCTCAAGTGATCCGCCCGCCTTGGCCTACCAAAGTGCTGGGATTATAGGCGTGAGCCACTGCGCCCGGCCTGCTTTGAACATTCCTGTACTTTGCGCACTTGGACCAGTATTTTGGTGGCATATGTGAAAGAATCTCTGGGTCAAAGGTTATACATATTTATATTTTATATTTGATAGGTATTCCCAAATTGCTTATAAAAAATGTGGTACTTGTTTACATTTCTACCAACAACATATGAGGGTGCCACTTCTCTATTTGATAACTATCAAATAAATATTTTTGATCTTTGATAATCTAATATGCAAAGATTATTGCTCTTATTACTAGTGACTTCCATGTCACTAGATCCACTGGATGCTTTAAACTCTTTTTCTTCCTTAATTATTGAACATGCCATCCTTCCTGAAGCAGCCTCTTCTCTAGGCTGACGTGATCCCTCCCGTTCTCATTTTCTTCCTGACTCCCCGGCCCCTCCTTTGCTAGCTCCTCCTCTGCCTCACCCTTAAATCTGGGTGTTTTCAGGGCTCTATCCTAGGCCTTTTTCTTTTCATGCTGTACTTCTTTTCATTCTACACTTTGTTCCTGGTGATCTTTTCCACTTTGGGGACTTAAGTTGCCATCTTGACACTGACCATCTCTAGCCTAAATGTCAGTGCTATGCCTAGGTAACTGTGTATTCACCATCTCCACTCAAACTCACCACATCCAAAAACATACCTGCTCTTACACCTGCTCTTCTAATGTTTCTTACCTAATTATATGCTGCTTCACCAAGTTGTTCAAGTCAGAACCCTAGAAGTAATCCTAGATTCTTCTTCCCCTCTTATCTTTTGTATTCCAATCAATCATCAATGGACAGTTTATTTTCTATGCCTGTGATTCACTTTTGACTTGGAGATTTTTCTTTTTCATTATCCCAGGGATTCCCCTCACTTTTCTGTTGTATTGGATTTCTTGTTTCCTGTCATGGAAACATCTCTTATTTCTCTCTCATGAATTACTTCTTAATTTGGGGGAAACATATCCTGCAGTACCTTCCTGAGAAAGGGTGCATTGAAATAATTTTCACACTCTTTGAGATGCTTTTATTCTAAACTCCTATTTTATCGAGAACATAGCCAGGTATAGAATTGTAGGTTGGAAATAATTTTCCCTTAGAATTTTGAGGCATTGCATCTACAGCCATACCACCCTGAACGTGCCTGATATCATCTGATCTCGGAAGCTAAGCAGGGTCAGGCCTGGTTAGTACTTGGATGGGGGAATTTTGAAGCATTGTTTCATTGTCTTTCAGCTTCTAGAGTTGCTGCTGAGAGTCACAGTGCCATTCTAATTCTTAATCTTTTGTCTGAAACCTGTTTCTTTCCTTTCTGGAAGCTTATAAGATCTTTTGACCTCAGTATCTTGAAATTTTATGATGTGCCATGATGTAGGTCTATTTTAATTAAATGTTGAGCACTTGGTGGGCCTTTTTTTTCCATTAACTTTTTTGTTTTTATTTTTATTTTTTTGAGACAGGGTCTTACTCTGCTGCCCAGGCTGGAATGCAGTGGTGTGTAATGTTGGCTCACTGCAACCTCCACCTCCTGGGCTCACATGATCTTCCCACCTCAGCCTCCCGAGTAGCTGGGACTACAGGCACACACCACCACGCCTGGCTAATTTTTGTATTTTTAGTGATAAATCTATCAAGTGATATAGTGTCTGGGATTGCCTTCAAAATAATCCAGCAGATGGGGGTAAAGGAGTAGAGGTGGGGTTTTGGATGAGACAAGATTAGCTATAAATTGATAATTGTTAAATCTGAGTGATAGGCACACAGAGTTTCGTTATACTATTTTTTGTTAAATTCTTTTTTACTTAATACTATTCTATGTTTCATTCTATTTTTGTTTTAAAATTTCCATAATAAAAACAAAAAGTTTCCTTCTATTAGTTTGTCAGCCCTAATTTACTCATTCTAATTTTACTCTTCTCAAGTTTTAAGAAAACCTATTTCAAATTTTATCAGTTTCCCTTTTAAGCATTTAATGAGATTTTTGTTTCTCCTCTCCTTTAAGATTGTAATATTTAATTAATGTTGTAAACTATATAGTTTTCCTGTCAAATTTTCCTTGTATTTTTTTTTTTTTTTTTTCTGAGATGGAGTTTCACTTTTGTTGCCCAAACTGGAGTGCAATGGTACGATCTTGGCTCACTGCAATCTCTGCCTGCCGGGTTCAAGCGATTCTCCTGCCTCAGCCTCCCGAGTAGCTGGGATTACAGGTGTCCACCACCACACCCAGCTAATTTTTTGTATTTTTAGTAGAAATGGGGTTTCACCATGTTAGCAGGCTAGTCTTGAACTCTTGACCTCAGGTGATGCCTGCCTTGGCCTCCCAAAATACTGGGATTATAGGCGTAAGCCACCATGCCTGGCCTGATGTGTAGCATCTTTTCATATGCTTACTGACCATTTGTATATTGTGTTTGGTGAGGTGTCTGTTAAGGTCTCCAGCCCATTTTTAAATTGGGTTGTGTTCCTATTGTTGAATTTTAAGAATTCTTTGTATGTTTTGGAAAACAGTCCTTTATCTGTCTTCTGCAAATATTTTCTCTAGTCTGTGGCTTGTGTTTTCATTCTCTTGACAGTGTCTTTCACAAAGCAGGGGCTTTTAGTTTTAGTTATTTAATTTAAATTATTTAATTATGTTCAGCTTGTCAATTATTTTTTTCATGGATCATGCCTTTGGTGTTAACAACTATAAAGTCATTGCCAAACCCAAGTTCAGCTAGATTTTTTCCTATGTTATCTTCCAGGAGTTTTATAGTGCTGAATGTGACAAATTTTGACTTCACTTCTGTGAAGGGTGTAAGGTTTGTGTCTAGATTCATTTTTTCTTTTTTGCACGTGGATGTCCAAGTGCTTCAGTACCATTTGTGAAGAGACTGTCTTTTCTCCATTATATTGCTTGTGCTCCTTTGTCAAAGAGCAGTTAACTATATTTATGTGGGTCTATTTCTGGGCTTTCTATTCTGTTCCACTCTATTTGTCTTTCACCAATACCACACTGTCTTGATTATTGTAGCTTTAATGTATGTCTTGAAGTTGAGTAGTGTTACTCCTCTGACTTTGTTCTTCCATTTCAATACTGAGTTGGCTATTCTGAGTCTTTTTTGTCATTGAGACAAGGTCTTGCTCTGTTGCCCAGGTTGGGGTGCAGTGGCACAATCATGGCTCACTGTAGCCTCAACCTTCTGGGCTCAAGCAATCCTCCCACTTCAGCTTCCTGAGTAGCTAGAACTACAGAACTACAAGTACACACCATTTTGCCCAGCTAATTTTTTATATTTTTTTGTAGAGATGGGAGCTTGCTATGTTGCCCAAGCTGGTCTCAAGCTCCTGGCCTCAAGTGATCCTCCTGCCTCAGCCTCTCAAAGTGCTGGAATTACAGGCATGAGCCATCACACCCAGCCTGTTCTGAGTCTTTTGCTCTTCCATTTAAACTTTTTTTTTTTTTTTTTTTTGAGACAGAGTCTCGTTCTGTTGCCCATGCTCCATGCAGTGGCACCATCTTGGCTCACTGCAACCTCTGCTTTCTGGGTTTAAGCAATTCTCCTGCCTCAGCCTCCCTAGTAGCTGGGATTATAGGCACCTGCCACTATGCCCAGCTAATTTTTGTATTTTAGTAGAGATGGGGTTTCACCATGTTGGCCAGGCTGGTCTCGAACTCCTGACCTCAAGTGATCCACCCACCTCAGCCTCCCAAAGTGCTGGGATTACAGTTGTGAGCCACTGCACCTGGCCCCATTTAAACTAGAGAGTCAATTTTTCAATATCCACAAAATAATTTCCTGAGATTTTGATTGGGACTGCATTGAATGTGTAATTCAGTTGGGAAGAACTGACATCTTTATAGTATTGAGTCTTCTCCATGAACACGAAATCTCTATATTTATTTTGTTGTTTTTTGATTCCTCTCATCAGTTTTGTAGTTTTCCTTATATAGATCTTGTACATATTTTGTTTGATTTATACCTAAGTATTTCATTTTGGGGGGTGCTAATATAAATGGTAATGTGTTTTTAATTTCAAATTCCACTTGTTCATTGCTGGTATATAGAAAAGAGACTTACTTTTGCATATTAATCTTGTATCCTACAACTTTGCAACATACATTTAAACATTTGCCCTATTGTTTCACTAAGCCATTCTAAGGCATAACAGACTGTTCCTATAAATTGTGTATTCAGTAAAGGGCTTATCAAAAACTCAAAAGAATAAAACCATTTGTCTCTTATCTACCT